TCCTTTATTTAAAAATATTTCTTTGGCGAATATTGAATATCTGTATGGTGTGCAACATGAGGATTTAGTAACATACATGGTGTGAGGATGATTACAGTCAAATTAGTTACCACATGAATCACCACCCATGCTGTAGATGAGATCCCCAGAACTCATTTATCTTACATCTGAAAGTTCATACTTTTGACCAACTTTGCTCTCTGTTTGGTGGGAATGTAAGCTGATGCAACCATTATGGAAAAGTGTACAGAGGTTCTTCAAAAAAATTACAATCTGCAATCTCACTTCTGAGTATATGTCCAAAAGAAATGAAATCAGTATCTCAAGGAGACATCTACTTCCAAGTTCATTGCAGCCATATTCATTCACATGCATTTTAAATTTGCCACCTACATATTTTTTTTTGCCTTGTTCAGAGTTGCAATTAACCAGAGGGCAGATCTTCTATTCATTTGTGGTAATATACTACAGTACATATGGGGACTCCATAAATATGGGTGAATTAATATAGGCAATGCATATCATTGCTGTTATATCCCTGAAGGCTGCACACATCTGGCAGTGCACACATCCCATCTGGAACCTGTCATGCTAGCCACCCTCAACCAGCACCCACAATGTATGCAGACCAAGCTAGCTCCTCTGAAGATCAGGCAGAGACATTTCTGGTGCAGTCTTATTTCTGACCATCCCCAACGGTTCTCCTACATTCTAGTTCTTTGATTGCAGTTCCCTAAATAGATCAAATACTTAGTCTTTCATACCTTTGCACATGCTGTTCCCACTGCCCGGAATGACCTCTCTTTTCTCATCCTCCATGTCCAACTCCTACTCATCCTTAAAGATTAACTACATCACTTTCTTGGCAAAGGCCTTTGCCTATCTCCTCTCTCCTAAGGCTGACTTAGTTGTTCTCCCCCCCACCCCCTATGTTTTCCAAGATGTTTGTTTGCATCTTTGTCCTCTCAACTGGATTACAAATCCTCTGAGGACAAAATCCTGGGCTGATCGCTACCCTCCACTCCTCCACGGCGCTGGGCCACTGTGAGAGTTTTGTTTTTAATGAATGCCATCTTACATAGGTAACTCTAATTCCTGTTTGCACCTCTGTAACCAAGTGTATATTTCCTGGCTCCAGGGAGGAATGCCCTTTTCTGAATCATCTCAGTGTCTACACTTTTTTCTGGAGCTCTCCCTCACTCTGGACTGAAAAAAAAGCACTGCTGACCTCTGCCTGGCCTTGGAGTTAGCTTCCTTTCTCCCCTCTCCCCAAGGCAATTGTGTCCTTCAATCATCAAGAATCAATTTCCAACCAAGGATAGGGAAGACAGCCTGGGGCTGCGTGGGAGGAGGCAAGACTGGGATAGGAGTCAGAGCTGGAAGTTGGACCACACCCACTTGAAAATGCCAGAGTTATCAATGGTCCCAGTACAATGGTCCCACAAGAGGGTAGCCCTCAGGCAAAGCTTCTCCCTCAGGCCATCACAAGTAGAAGAGTCCTTCATCTCCCTCTCTGCAAGTGATGCCCTTCAGCAGCATGGGCTCCAGAATCTGTTCAGGAGGCAGACTTTGTTGGTTTAGTTACGCTACAAGGCTTCTGCCCCTGCCCTGGCTGTTATAGCTTACAGATTCCTGGTACCAATCTGATTGAACAATGCAATTAAAATGCAATAAAAGGAAAAGTAGGCCGGATGTGCCCCAGGGAAAAGAGTCAGGAATCTGAGTCCACAGGCCCCTCTTGAGCCCAGGCTTTTCACATCCTGTCTAAAGCCCTTAGCTACTGAACTTGGAGCGCTAGGGTTGGGTTTGAGGCCCTTAAAGGTTATCTACCCCACAAGCTTGTTCACACTGATGATAAAGTGTCTCAGCTCACACTCAGGTCCAGAGGGGACAGAATGACCCATGCTGCCCAGTCTCCAGGACTTAGGACTTGTCATCATTCAGGGCTTTTGACACTAACAGGTGGGAGGAAGCTTGTTTGAAAACACTAAGATTCATGGTCCTGAAAGAGCAGTCTCTTGGGGGCATCAAGATTGTTTGGTCTTTTTTTTTTTTAAATACTAATTTATGGAAACATAATTGACATACCATACAACTTACTATATAAAGTTTGGTTGTTGTTGTTTATTCAGAATTGTGCAATCATCACCATTTTAGAAATATTTTCACTACTCAAAAAGAAACCCAATGCCCTTAATCTATGCTCTTCAATCTCCCCATTCCTCCTAGCTCACTCTAGGCAATCAGTAATCTACTTTCTGCCTCTATATATTTGCCTATTCTGGACATTTCATAGAAATGGACTCATGTGATATATATCCTCTTGTGACTGGCTTATTTAGCATAGTGTTTTTGAGATTGACCCATGTAACAGCATGTATCAGGACACCCTTTCATTTTATAGCCTAATAATATTCCATCATACATATCTACCTCATTAAATATTGTATATATTTGAAGTGTACAATATGATGTCTTGATATATCACATTTGGTTTTTCCATACATCAGTTGATGGACACATGGGTCCTTTCTATCCTTTGCCTATTGGGAATAGTGCTGCTAGGAACATTTATGTTCAGGAGTTTGTATGAATGGATGTTTTCAACTTTCTCAGATTAAAAAACTCACTTGTTCTTTCATCTCATTGATAACATCAATATCCATACTGATGAAGAGCCTAAAAGCATGTATGCATTGACTCTAGAAAAATCGTGGAGGATAAGAAGCTGGCTGCAGAAAGAAAGGCACAGAGATGTTAATTGTTCTACCTCTGGTCAGAGCCACTAACTATGTGAGGTCATGGAGGAGGGAGTTACATCTAGCACTCATGATAATCTGCCACCACAATGTTTATAACTTTAGGGAAAAAAAAGATGCCAGGGAACTTTTGTTTAAAATAAGTAGAATTTTAAAATGCCAACATGTATTCACACACCACCACTTTTAACTTGATCAGGTTCTTGCTTATTCACCCTCTGCCTTGTGTCTTCTAATTCTCCAGTGAAGACCATGGCTTCCCTTTTGGTTGAATTAAGTCCTCCCTTCCCCCCAAATTCACCTTGTCCTTACGGAAGGGGACTGATGACTTTGTAGGGAGTTTTAGAGTTTTTTCAAGGACTTCTCTTGTGTTGCAGCTGCAGCTCACAGAGTGCTGTGTATGGGAAACATGTATCTGTCCAGTGCTGTGGTACCATACTGTCTGGGCACTCTGGTCTGCTCACTATCTGTCACCAAGTATGTGTGTGGCTAAGATGCTGAGAGGCAGAGGTTGCTCCGGGCACCTAGTAAGTCGAACCATATGAAATTGCCAACATTAATCAGTTTCTGGACTATAAGAGTGGTGATTTCATATGGCTCATGTGATTTAACCTGCCAGTCTGAAGTGCCCTCTTCCTTTCCTTCTGGTGTTCCTCTCAGTGGCACAGATCCTGTGCTCTATGAAACCTTTCTGTCCATCCAGCCCAGCAGGTTTTCTCACCCAATCTTCTACCATGGCCATTCTCCAGATGCTCAATCTGGTGCCCAGAGACATGAGTGGAGAAAGGGGAGAGTACTGAGCTGGGAGTCAGGACGCACAAGCTCAGGCCCTGGCTTCTCACTCTCTGCCTTCTTCCTCACCCAGCTCCTGGCCCCCATCCTGCTCCCTCCAATCGCAAGCCCCTGTAAGTACAGAAGTGCTCCACTACGCTTGACTTCAAATCTGTTCCATTACCTTGTACATACAAAGGGTGGATCTTTTGAGTCCTGACTGGAAGATACAGCCTCATCTGCCACTGCTTCTGCTCCAGCCTCACCTAGCTGTTAGCAGTGCCTTGCATGCACCTGTGCACTCACACCAGGACACCCTGTCACCTGCTCCTCCTCTACTTGGAAGATTTAGTGCACCTCTTTCTCTCAGCTACCTCTGACTATCTTTTAAGACTCTCATCTTTGGGTCTCTGGGCTGTCATTGTGCAATCATCACCATTTTAGAAATATTTAGAAATAACCCTTTCTCTCTGTTCCCATTTCCTTGTGCTTCTGGTTGTCTGGCACCATTATCTGCATTTTAATTGCCTCCTTGCATATCTGTCCCTGTCTTCCTTTCTCAGCAGTTGGCTTGCAACAATATCATCAGATACATTCTTTAACCTATGATGACAGGATAGAAGAGTCAGTAAACTCTTGTGTTAATAGAACTAAGTAGTGTGCTGTGACTCAGTTTCCTCATTTTGTAGAAATGGTCCAGAAATTTTGGTTTTACCCCGTGGCCTTCTCTAAGCCCTCATTTTCTTCCTGAGAAGCCAGAGGGAGTTGGTTTTGAAGGCTCTTTGAATTCCTAGAGGAATGCCTGAGAACCTGGGATACAGAGCCTTTCCCTTTCAGAACCTCACACAAGGATCTCTGAGACGCAGGGAAATAGATGGGAGATAATTGCCTAAATGGAAGCTTCCAAGAAATTTGGAGGATGATTTTGTTCTGTTCCTCTTATAAATTTCATTGTAATTCAGTTAGTGTTTGCGGGGCAACTAGGAAGCATGTGCCAGTGTTAGGCACAGCGTCATGATAAAAAGTTGTATACCTCGTCTTCTGGATTTCCTGTGACTGCTACATTTTAAGTTAGTCTACAAGGGCTCGTCCAACTGCTGCCCCTCTGGCCGTCCACTCCCGCCAGAATCAGCGAACACGTTGGGAGAGACTGGCCCATGTCCCATCCACAAATTTGTAGCCACTCTCCTACTGGGTCTGTGTCCACCACTGAGCTTGCGAGGTTGGCCAAACAGGACCTCGGCCCGGGCGCCCTCTGGCGGCGGCGCACGGAAGCTCCGGCCCGGCAGGGAGATGGCAAGGGGAAGGAGGAGGGAGGAGGGAGGAGGAGGCGCGGGCTGGGGAGGAGAGGAAAAAGTTTCGCTGGGAAGTTTGGAAAGTTGGGAAGTGGCTGCTGCGGGCTTCGCCTCCCTCCGCGCGTGTGTGAGGGAGCGAGCGCGGCAGCGAGAGGGGAGCTAGCGAGCGCCTGCCATGCCCATCAGACCCCGCCTCGCCGCGCACGGGCGCAGAGCTCGCCCCGACTCCTTGCGGCCCGGCCCGGCCCGGCTCGGCCCGGCGCTGCCCCGGCCCCCCGCCCCCCGCGCCGGGTCCTCCCCTCCCCCCGCCCGGCGGCCCCAGCCCCCCGCCCGGCCCGTCTCCGCGCCGCTCTCCCGCCCTCCTCTCTCCCTCCCTCCCGGCCGCGGAGCAGCATGGCGGAGCCCGGGCAGCGGCCGCGCGGCCGCCCGCCGCCCCTCTGAGCCGGGCTTGGGGCAGCGGGCGCCCCAGACCCGACCCCCGCCCTGCCGCGCCCTCCGCCGCACTTGTCCCACTGCGCGCCCCCTGGAGCGCCGCGCACCCCTGGGACCTTTGCGTTCTCCGGGTGCCCAGCATAACCCGAGAGCCTTGCGCACCCCGGGATTCGGTACTGCCCCGGAACCCTGCGTGCCCCTGGACCCCTACGCAGCTCGGGGACCCCCGCGCGCCCCAAGACCCTGCGCGCCCTCAGAACCCCCGGGCTCGGCCAACAGGGCTGCGCGCCCTAGTGAGGGGGGCCCCGCCCCAGAGGGTCCCCCTCTTCCAACAGTCGGAGCCCCGCCCCAGAGGGACCCCCAGGTCTGATAGGGACATCCAGCCACGCCCCAGAGGGCTTCCAGCATCCCGCGTCTGGAGCCCCGCGCTCCAGAGGCTCCTCAGTGCCCAGCTGGGGGCTCCCCGCCCTGCTCAGGGGGTGCTGCCTAGGAGGGTTCCCCGCGGGCCCCGGCAGGATGCACGCCGCCCTAGCGGGTCCGCTGCTCGCCGCCCTCCTCACCACCGTTCGCGCCCGCCCGCAGCCCCCGGACGGAGGACAGTGCCGGCCGCCAGGATCGGTGAGCGAGCGCCTGCCCCGCCACTCTCCCGCCCGCCCGGGCACTCCAGCCTTTGGGGCGACTGTTTGAGTCCTGCCTTCCTCACCCATCTCAGCCAGCTCGCTCTACCTCTGCCCGCTGGGCGCAGTCTTGGGCGCCCTTCCTGGCTTTTGCCTGTCCTGGCTCTAGCTCGGAACCCAGCCGGAGCTGAGATGGGGCGCTCCCTCTCTCCCATTCCTTCTCTACTCCCTGACACTCTCGGGCTCTCCTCTAGACTTTAGGTCCTGTTTGGACGTTTCCTCTCCGTGTGCCGCCCCCCCCCCCCCCCCCCCGACTCTCTTTTTTTCTGACTTTTATTCTGGCCTTATCCTTCCTTATTCTTGCTGCCCATTTCTGACTGTCTTCTCAGATTCCTTCCAAACCCCTTCGCGCTTACATTCACACACTCTGTGCCTCTTCCCCGGCTTCCGTCCCTCTCCCTGCCCTCCTATTCTAACCTAAGGCAAACTTTCTCCTGGTACTGGATCCTACTTCTCTCTTCCTCTGCAGTCCAGGCCGCAGCACCTACTGTCCCAAGTGCCTCAGTTTGGCGAAAAGGGGGAAGAGTCCAGAGGAGAGGAAAAGTAAATGCCAGGACACGCTGGCCTAATATTTCTTTGGGGGGTGGAAAAAGTTACTGGTTCTCCTAACTTTCTTTCCAAAATGAAGAATCTCTTGATTTTCTTTAAGGGTTAATTAATTCATTGGCAGTAACCCTGAATTGGAGGCCAGGAGATCAAGAAATTGTGTTGTATGGTCTTCCTTCACTGCCCTGTTAGCAGGGAATTCATTGACCTTGGGCAAGGTGCACCTCCAACAGACTGACTTGTACAGAAACAGGGAGCACATTAGCTGGCTGGGCACTCCGTCTATTTCCAGTAAGCTGGGATTTACAATTTTTGCTTATTAGTAAAGTAAGGTTCTATTCCTCTACCTGCCCAACACATACTTTTCATTTGTGCCAGATCATTCAGCACTTCAGGGATTTTTTCTGGGTGGAAGAATGGCGTTGCCTGAGAGAAAATGATAGTCCCCTTTACATTCCCATGCCCACTGACCCTAATCTGAATCTGGAGAACTGGCCCTGGTCTGTGTGCCCCTGCACACACACACAACCCTAATGGGAGCTTAGGTCATAGAAGATGACAGAATTGGGGATAAAGACCAGGTATACATTTTTGATGCAGGAGCCTGGAAAGCATCCAGAATGTGTACATTTCTTGGGATTAATTCTATGGAATCCTCTCTTCTCAAACCAGAAATTGAGACTTGACTTGGCTTTGCGAGGTTTTAAAGCACTTTCTCATCTATGGTCTCAGCTATTGGAGCAAAGTAGCTAACACCCCAGACCTGCCCTCCAAGAAGAAAACTGTATCCACCCTGGTGAATGGGAAGTAGCTGTTGAAATAGGTGTGCTATTTTTAATAGGTGTTCTGCTTTCAAAATGCTCTTGGCATATGTCTTCTAATGGTTGGATTTAAAAGTTATATGACTTCCTCCCTTCTTGCCAGAGCAGGACTCTTGGTCCCCCTCTCCCCACCTTCCACATGAAACACCAGGAAGGTTTGCCTTGGCCCAGTATGAATGTTCTCAGGTGGTGTGGCAGTGCTTGGCTCTCACAGTGAAAGCTGGTCATAATGAGAGCTTCCCTTCATTGCGCACTTCCTCTGTGCCAGGCACTGCTCAGAGGACGTCATTACATATATTGTATCTTTCAATCCTCCCAACAGCCCCTGCTCTCACTCCCATTTTACAGATGAGGAACTGAGTCTGTGGGAAGAGAAATGATTCGCTCCAGATCATGCATCTAAGATAGGGCAAAGCCGGGATTCCAGTATGGGTCTTTCCGCTTCCAAAGCTCTTGCTCTTTGCCACAGCCCAAGTGAGTCTTTGCCTTCTGTCCCACCTCCCCTCCCACTCCTCTGTGCCAAGCCTGGCTCTCCTCTGCTGCCTTCAGCCTCACTGCCTCTCCTCTCCTCTCCTGCAGCAGAGGGACCTGAATTCTTTCCTGTGGACTATTCGGCGTCACCCCCCAGCCTACCTGTTTGGCACCATCCATGTCCCCTACACCCGCGTTTGGGATTTCATCCCTGACAACTCCAAGGCGGCCTTCCAGGCCAGTGCCCGCGTCTACTTCGAGCTGGACCTGACAGACCCCTATACTATCTCTGCACTGGCCAGCTGCCAGCTGTTGCCGCACGGAGAGAACCTGCAGGATGTGCTGCCCCGAGAGCTCTACTGGCGCCTGAAGCGCCACCTGGACTATGTGAAGCTGATGATGCCATCATGGATGACTCCTGCTCAGCGGGGCAAGGGGCTCTACGCGGACTACCTGTTCAACGCCATTGCAGGCAACTGGGAGCGCAAGAGGCCTGTGTGGGTGATGCTCATGGTGAACTCTCTCACGGAGACGGACGTGCGCTCTCGTGGTGTGCCCGTGCTGGACCTCTACCTGGCCCAGCAGGCCGAGAAGATGAAGAAGAGCACAGGGGCTGTGGAGCGGGTGGAGGAGCAGTGCCATCCACTCAATGGGCTCAACTTCTCCCAGGTAGGCACGCTCACTAGCTTGGAGCTGGCAGCCAGAGCCAGGTCTTTCCCCTAAGGAAGAGCTTCTTTCTGGCTCTGGGGCTGCTTTGGTGGGATGAGGAAAGGGTGCATGCCAGAGTTTGGGGTAAGAGAGTGTTTGCTTGTATTTCAGGGTTACCTGTTGGGGATATCCACTTCGTACTTGCTGTGCTTGCCTGAGCAGAAAGAATTTCCCTGGGAGCATCAGAGTGATGGAAAACAAAAAGAGGGGGTTGCCAGTTTGTGTCAGGCTTTGCCAAAGCCATGGTGTCTGGAGAGCAAGAGGCTGTTGTGAGGCTCTTGTGTGGACAAATACCTGGAGCGGTGGTGTTGTACAGAGGAGGACATGGTGCCTGGGCTGGGCTGGCAGGGGACGTGTCCTGGACCTGCCCTTTACAAGCACTGGTTTGCTGTTTCAGATTAAGCACTACAGAATTTCCTGGGCCTTTACTAAACTCTGAGACTGCTTCCTTAAGACTGGGAGAAAGTCAGCAAAGAGACTTTGGGGGTTAATAATTTCAGAGACATGTGTTTGCTTAAAGGTTGACAGTTCTGATTTCTGAACCTCATGAGTGGGGGCAGAGAAAAGGGAGGGGCTTAACAGGTTTAAAGTCTCTGACTGCCAGAGACCTGAGCCAGCAAAATGTCATTAAAGGCCTTCTCTATGGGCAGAGGTCACTCGCAACTCACTGGCCCCAAACTCAACTCTGAGGCCCTGGGAACAATGAGTTCACATCTGTGCCCTGAGAAAGGGGCTGTCGTTCCCAGGATGGGGACTCCTAGGCTGGTGGCTCCTGCAAGGAGGCCTCAAGAGGGGGTTCAGGCCAAAGTCCCCAGAGCGGTGAGGCCCTGAAAGGTGCATGCTCCTCATTAAGGAGACAGCACCATAAGATGATGGGACCAGGAACGATCTACCACTGGGATCAGACCTGCCCGCTGATCCTCAGATGTTGCAAGCTCTTCACCAGGGAAACCATGGCAGAAACCGATCCCCCTTTCCGAGATCTCTGGCCTTTGTTTTTCCAGGGGAAATGCAATATTGTCCCCAGGGAGGTAAGAAGCCAGATTGATTTGCCGGCCAAATGAAAGGCGGGTTTGTCGGTTCTCCTGCTGGCTCTCCCATAATTGTGGAGTCCTTACCCAGAGGGGCCCGGTGGCAGGAATATTGGGGCAGTTAGTCACGCCCCGCAGGGTTCTGACTACGCCTGACTCCTTCTCCACGGGGGAAAATCCTGCGTATTCTCTGGCCCAGTGTTGATTCCTCTGAACATAGCGGCTCTCTCCCTCTGAAGTGACTTTTCCCTTGCCAGCCTCGGGAGCTGATATTATCTGTGTTGGGGCCCCCCAGCGCTCACCGCCCATCTCATTTTGGAGGCAGGTTTGTGGGGGGCCTCTCTGCTCAGAGGCCTCATGTCTGGCCTTATATCTTTTTTAGGCTGGGGAGGCGGGGGATCCACCATCATTCTCAACACCCTCTTTGTACCAACCACAGAGGAATCCAGCGAGGGCTGAGGGGAGCCCTCCAGTGCTCTGCTTAAACAGCCCCTGGCTTTAATCTGTCTCTCTTAAAACAACAAAACTATCTTTTCTTTGGGGTCTGGAAATGCTGCTGTACAACCAAATGACGGCTCTGCTAGGTTGAAAACATTTGCTGGGAAGTGTGTAAGGTTATGTTTTAGGAAAAGTTCCTGAGAGCCATTCATCGGCCGGCAAGGAGCCCGCTGACAGTCTCCAAAGCCCATGTTTGAAGATCAAACAGACTCCAATTTCTATTTCAAAAACGTACCCATCCCATCTCCAGCCTAGGCCGGCTCTTCAAATTGTTCTGGGGGTCCAGCCTCTCACTAGGGCTGCAGAAAGCAAGTTCCAAACAAAAGAAACCAGGTCTCCTCTTGGCTCCCTAATCTACATACCCTTCACCACCTGCCAGAGTGCCTGACTGGCCAATTTGTTCTGTTATCAGTTTGGACCGAGGTGATGAAATCTCTCCTCCAACCCCTTGGGCAGACGTGGGCTAACTGGAAAAGGTGGGATTAAGAACCTGGGCAGATGGGGTCATTAAGGATCCCCAAACTCAAAGTTAGAAATGCAACAGCCTACTCAGTAAAATTGCATGCATGCATGCACAGTTTGATATGAACATCTGTGATGCATTATTGTACCGAAATATCTGTTAAGTGCATCAGATTTTTATTTTTTCTTTCCTCGAAGCATTACTGTTATTGCAAAATATTTGGTTTTGGGGGGGCAGTGAGAGAGGAAGGCTAGAAAAAGGCTTAAAAGAGTCACTTTCTGTTAAGGTCTGAGATTTTAGTTTTAATTTTGGTGTTACAAAAAATTTTTATAGACATATTTTTTTCTGGGAAGAAGCAGTTTTGCTTCTTAAGCAGAGAAAGAAAGATTTAGTTTGGGGACTTCAGGGCCTGGAGGAACCCCTGAAAAACTGGAAGGCTGGTAACTGATCTTGCCTAGCTTGGAAGGTCAGGTCTGTTGGTAGGTTTTGATCTTTCATTTCAAAATAAACTGAAAGTGCCAGACCTAGCATCACCATGACTTTGCCATGTGACCTTGGACAAGTCAGTTCCTCTCTCTGGGCCCTGTTTTCTCTGTCTCTGAAATGAGACACCAGGATTAGGTCATCTTTCAAGCCCCTTCCAGCCCTGACATTCCATAGGATGATTCTAATCAATTCCACGTGCCAGGCACCCTGCAGGAAGCTCCACATGCGTTTCCATTTCATTGAATTCCCACAGCAACCCTATAGCTTTCTAAGGTGGGCACCCAGAAAGGTTGATGACTTGCCCAAGGTCACGTGGCTAATAAGGAGCAGAGCCCGTCTGCCTGCCTCTATATGAAGGATGTGCTCTTCTTGACATTGGTACTGTTTCTTTAGACTTCTGTCTAGGTATCTGTTATTCTGCTGTATACTTCCTTTAGGGCTTAAAATTTTATTTCTTGGTGATTTTGTACTTGTAGAGACATTATTTCCTTTGGTTGTGAGCCTGGAGAGGGGATGGTGAAGGCTGATCCTCTGAAGAGTGTGGCTTCCTCGTGTGTTGTAGGCAGCTCAGCCTGGTGGGAGACTTGTATATATATAAGCTTGGGCGAGACTTGGTATCCCCATCTAACCTATCCAATGGGATGGTAGCTGCCAGTCTTTTAGAGTGGAGCTGGTTTTATGAGTATGTGAGAAGACACTCCCTGTAGAAGGTTGTTGAGAAAGTAAATGACTTCCTGCATGATGGTTCTGAGCTTGGCAAAGAGTAACTAGCCCTGGGGAAGAGGAAGGCTACATGGGAAGCCACCATGTATTTCTTCCAGCAGCTGTATCCACTGTCCAACCTTTGCTGAGCAAACTGAAACTGGAATATTGAGAGGTAGTGATGAGGCCCTGCCTTTGGGGGCCTGGGATACCTGAGCTTGGAGCCCAGATCTTATGACAATCTTGAGACCTGTAGATTCCTATCAGTTCTGCCTGCTGCCTCAAGTGACTGATGCTGGCTGTCACTACTCCCTCTGGGAATCTCCAGTCCTCCCCGACCATACCCCTGTAAGTGGGGGCACTGGATGAGAAGACCTTTTAAGTTATATGGTGCTCCAAGATATAATAAGAAAACAAGGATACTGCCATGCTGTGCCTTAGCCAGTCTGCTGGTGCCACCCATCCAGTGTGTGTAGAGCCTGAGCTCTGGGACAGGCCTGCCAAACATGTCCAAAATGTTTGTAAAACTAGAGCTAGAAACCACAAAATTACCTGCTGAACTTTGTCTCTGTGCTGGGTGCTACATTAGATCTCACATGTATGTGATGTCTAATCCTCATGGCAATGCTGCAGGGTCAATTGTCATATCTGTTTTAAAGACAATAAATTAAAACTTGAAAAGGTTGGGTCATTTGGCTGTGATTACATAGACAGGCTAGGTAGACTCCAGGGTCAGATTCAGGTGTGTCCATTGCTAAAGCCTGTGCTTTCCAAGCATCTCAGAGATGAATTGATTATTGTTTTTAATAGTCAAGCAGCTTTATCTGGTGGATTTGTATGTGTATGTGGTGTGTGTGTGTGTGTGTGTGTGTGTGTTTGTGTGTAAGTGTATGGGGGGGGAGATTTTCATTTCTTGCTAAAAAAAGCAAAATAGAGAAAGAGAAATAATTGAAAAGTGCTGAAACTGATTTTCTCCCTGGTTTATAAATTGGATCTGAAGGTAATTCTAAAATAGGAGTTTCCAAAGACATTCTGGGCACCAGCTGCCTCCTTGGAATGCATCTCCAGCTTTCCAAGGGACCACTGCGAAGGCGGCCGCCCTAATACAAGCTAAGACTGAACAGTTGAATAAAGAAAGATCTCCTCGGTTTATAGTCAAGGTTCCCATATCTACACCCTGGGGGGCCAGCAGGTATTAGTAAATATTTGCAGAATGAAGGAATTAACACCAAATGGTCAGAACCCATGATATGACCTTCCCTAATTCCCTTTTACCATCCAGCACTGCTGAATGAATGAATGTATGAAGAAAGAAGCATAGGGCACAGTGAGGAGCACCTTTCTTGGACTTCAATCACTCCGTGCCTTACATAAAGGACACAAAATACCAAAGTCATCCAATGGGTTGTCTTAGCCTATCGGAGATACTATAAGAAAATCCCTTACACTGGGTGATTTATGAACAGTGTTAATTTATTGCTCACAGTTCTGGAGGCTGAGAAGTCCAAGACCAAGGTGCCAGCAGATTCAGTGTCTATAGAGGCCTGTTCTTCATAGATGGGTCTCCTCTGTGCCTTCATGTGGCAGAAGGGGAAAAGGGAGTAACAAGCCTCTTTATTAGGGCATTAGTCAATATTCAAATAGATACTTATCTTTACCCAATTACTACCTTGCCTATGACTTTGGGATAGACCTTTCCCTCTGTAGGTCTAAGTTGTCCCCTTGTCCCATGAGAGGTCGGCTAGGTTATTTCCAGTGCCCACCCAATTCTGCCATCTGTG